GAGGCATCTCAAGGCTGATACTGAGTTATACAAACATGCTGTGCATACAAAGGCTCATTATACAATATGGAAACAGTCTCTTGAAAGACATAACTGGTGCAAAATTTTAGGATCCTATTTTGTATTCAGTATTTTCACTCCAGTGACTTTAATCTCTACCTCCAATCAAAAGATTTTAAACTAAGAGCTCAGCACCCTGTAAGTCACATCACTATTTCCAATTTCTGGCTGTAGGTCTCATCATGATGACAACTCCCTCAAACTATTGAGGTACTGCACATACAGAGAACAATGGGCTTCACTGGTAGCTATCCTCCACCGGATGAACATACAGCATGTTGGATAACTACCTACTCCTCCTAAATGAATATGTTGAAAGAGTTATATTCAGAATGTATTTTTTGCCCTCTTCTGCTGACAAATTGTTGAGCTGGCTGCTTGTCATAGCAAGCTGTCAGCCATATGGATGCCATTCAGCCATTTTTCCTCCTCGGAATGCTGTTGAGCAGGGCCCACACAGCCAAATGTCCGTGAGCCCTGCGATTCAGTGACTCAACAGAGCTGAGAGAAAGGCCACAATTTTCTCAAGTGGCAGCAGGCACCTGTGTCTCTGCTTTGCTCATCTTCCTATCAAATTAAAAAAAAAAAAAATTCCAGAGAACCCTCATGTACGTAAATTTAAGTTCTTTCTGCTGGGCTGCGCAGTTGCATAGCTGTCTGCTTTACTGATGTGGCTTTGCAGCTGTAACAGATGAGTAATATTAGATAAGCTGGATTTAAAATAAAATAAGAAGAGAATGGCAGTTTGCAATAACCTTGGTCATGTTGCAACACAGAGGGGAAAAATAAAACATGCGAAAGTTGTCAGCTGGTGCGGAGACACTGTTATTAAAATATAAATGGTATGGAAAAATCATGGCTCAGATGAGGTACTAAGAGGTTTTCAAGAAGCCATAAAAATGTGCAGTTATATTACACTAAACGTTAGTTTACCATTAGACTTCCTAACAGTAATAGCTGCTAACCAGCAAAATCTTCATAGGAACATTTTCCTAAATGTGTTATCATTGGCTTAGTTATGCAGAAATGTGCAGGGAGCAAATGGGCTGCCCAAGATGGCTTTGCACTGTGTCCTTTTTACTTTGATATCATGGTCCTAGATGCTTAGAGATTTAGATCCTGGGGGATAAAGGGAGATGAGCTGTGTAAAAATGAAACATAATTTTGAATTTTCTCATTAGATTGACATTTTCTGACAAAGTCCAATGCAAAGAGACACACCAACCCCAGTTTGGTGCCTAATCCTGGATCACATGGTTGGTCTGAACCCTCTTTGTGTTTTGGCCATCCGCTGGCCTCCCTCATGACAATAAGAATATTTTAAACCATTGCAAATGATCACGGCTGTGCTTAGCTGCCCACGCTTTGCCATGGTTACGCGAAGAAGTAACTCCATGACACATGGTTGGCATTTCTTGCGTTTGTTTGTTTGTTCGAGCTCCGGGAGGGTTATCGGTGATCCACATCCGAGAGAGGAGGCTGAGTTTACATCCCTCCAGCCCCCGGGCTGTTAATTTTAACAAAGCTGCCTGAATTTGCACATTGGATGTGGGGGATGTGCTACCAAACAGCAGGTGAGGATGGCCTCACTGCCATGGGAACCAGATCTGCTGTGGGGAAGGGGGCAGTCTGGCATGCTGGGGAGGGGGCACAGAGATGTGTTGTGCGGTAGCTGGTTTTATTTTTAAAATTGTTTGTGGCATGGAAATGTCACCGATGAAGGCTGTGGCCTGGAGAGGGCTGGCAGTGACCTTGGTTTAAAGCATTTCCAGCTCTGCACTGGCCATGCTAACCCTCGATAGTTCCTGGCTGAGATGTTTTCCTCTGCTACGTAATAATGTTAAAACTGGTGACCTTGTAGATAACACATTCTTGACAGCAGTTTCATCCACTGGGCATTTCACTGGTGGATCCTGCCTGAAAAACTAGGCAGATGGTTTTGGTTTTCAGGAAAATTAAGATTGGATCAAAGGCCGAGCATCTTTGGTGTCCCCTGACCAAGCTTTTGTTGACCTTCCCAAACCAAAATGCTCCTTTGACCATCTTTAGTCTGATCCTTTTGAGTTTCTTGAGTACTGGGATTTGGTACAGGTGAGTTATAAACATGACGTCTCCACACTGCAATGTCTCAGTCGTGACTCAAACAACACTGCTTGCATTGCAATAAAAGCTGCAAAGATTCAACTTAAGTGTTGTTTTTATTGGTGATTCTAATCAATCAGGAAGACTAAAATCAAATAATAGTTCTAAACTTGCCTTACGTTTGTGCCAATTTGATAATTTCTCTGTGTAGAAGTAGATTTCCTCTCTCTTGCAGCCATTAAAAATTGCAATTGCAAGTAAGTACAAAGCTCATATTTCCTAGGGGAAATATTTTTGTCTATTTTTATAATTTAATTTTATTAGACAATTGTGAATGGCATTTGAGAATCACCAATAAAAGCATTAACTGCTCAAAAAGTATTAGTTTGACTTAATTTCCACCCAATTTCATGTTCATTCAAAAGTGGATTCCATGAAAATGTAGAGACAACGTTGAAAAATAACATCAAATTTATAAAACTTTAAAAAGTGCTCTTGAATTGCAACTTTCTTGTTCCGCTTCTACACCAGAGGAAATTTTATATGTGATTACTAAACAGATTTATATGTTGTGGTTACTGTATTTGTCCATTTTTTTGAATGGACAGCCTCTAACTACAGTTTTTAGAGGAAAAAAAAGTGAGTCTTGCTGAACTTATTTGCCAATTAGCTCACAAATTTGTATAAGATGGGTATTGAAATAATTGCATTGAAGGAATGTTCTTTACACCTGCAAGTGAAGCAGCTGCTGCCAAAACCTCAGAAATATCACTTCAATAAAGTTTCAGTCTATTTAATGACTTTTCCTATTGATGCTGAGGTTTGGCCTATTACACAAGCATGAACTGCTCAAGACGTTAAATCTCAGTTATGTTTTGAGAATTTTAATAAATTTTGTTAAAGTTAGAGCTTAATTTATATTATCCTGCTTTAAATTTAATTTTAAATAAAATAAATAGACTTATTCTGTAAGAAGTATAAAAGAATACAGCGTTTCTAAAAATGAATTTATACAGCTTTTGGAACATGGAATTATCTGGTTTTGCACTTCCTTATGTCTGCAGATTTCAAGTGGCATGACACTGGTCTCTGTGTATTCCATAAATCAGAATTTTCAGTGAATATTTGTATCTATGAAGATACAGATAAAATCCTTGTTAACAGGAGGAAATTATTTTCAGGTTTTAGGAGGACTGATAAGACGACACTATTGCTTTCCAAGTTACATGGAAGAATTTTTCAGCCAAGGACAAACTGAAAGCTAAGGACCTATTGCAGAATTATCTGATTTTACTTGGCATTTGTTTAACTGTTGTGTGAATCGCTGAAGGCCATTTACTCTGACAAGAAATGTCAAATACACCAGTAATAAATCAAAACAGGAGATGGAATACAGTTCTCTCTCATTTTTTCCTACTTTGGCAAGGTAAGGAGGGGTTTATAGACTACTTGAAATTCGAAGGGTTGCTCACATATGGAAAAATATTTTTTCATTGGGACAATTCTGTAAACTTGAGCCTCTGGAAGTGTTACAGAAGTTGCTCTTAATTACATATTTTAATGGTATCTAACTAGTACTATATAAAGTCTTTTGTGTATGACCAGCAGTAACTATTTCTTTTAAATGAGCAATTCTCCCCCTTCTCTAGTTCTATAATACAGTAAAATATGTGGCATGAGAAGATATATATATCTGATGAATGTGCCTTTAAAATATGGTACATTTCCTTGCTATAGACAGATCTTAAAATTTAAATTCTGGTCAATAAGTGGACTTGCATTTATAAACCCTGAAGCTTTTTGGTGCCTGCAGTGGATGATGGCCACTTTGCATCAAGGAGAATTAATTATTTTGATTACTAAATGTGTTTCTTTGAAAATTACTTGTTACCTTTTATTACCCTGCTTTCCTTTAGAAAATAAATCTGTTCATCTAAGAACTAGAATAACTATTTAGAAATGGACTTTTTTCAAATCCTGCTTTACCAAAGGGGCTGTAGGATTCAGTACAGGATAATTCTCACCTTTTACAATATCTTATACATAAGCAGCAGCATCCATATCAAGTTAGAAAAGACAAAGGAAAATGTATCAACTGCTTAAAAATCATCAGCAGTTTTAATCTGCTAATAAGATCCTGAATAGTTAAAAACCAGAGAGGAATCATTAATACTGATAGAACAGTTCAAAGAAAGGTAAGAAGTTTTGGAAGCAAAAAGTCATTCTAGTCTCTAAGCAGAAAAAACCATCAACTTTATTTAAAATGCAAAACTAAAGAGAATCCTTTAAAATGTATTGATGCAGTAAAACTCTATGGGAGCTTTGACTCATTTGTGTATTTTAATGGTGTTTGGGTTTTTTTCTGTGCCAAAAAAAAAAAAAAAAAGGAAATGCACAGTAGTGTAATACAGTGTTTGAATTTTAGAAGGAATAGAAAATTGAAGTCATATTTAGCTGAATATAGAATAATAGACTCTACAAATGTCAGCTAATAATATCACATCAGTTTTTATATTGTGGTTTGTTCTGTTTTTTTGACACTTACTCTTCACTAAGCAATCATATGTTTTTACCTCAACTTTGTCTTTTGTCATCTATTTCTGTGTTGATTAATTACTGTAGTCATCTAAATAATTTTTTAATTAAGTTATTTTTGTTTAAAATTGCTGATAAATAGTGGGGGCAAAAAACCCCAAGAAAACATTTCTACAAAGCCAGTTCTGTTATTATATAGTTTTCATAATATATTTCCATTTGGTTTTAATTGCTAAGTACATTTTCCTGAAAATTACAAACCCTTATGGGTTAAAGGTTCCTCTGCTCCTGCTGCTTTTTTTTTTTTTTTTTTTTCCACACAGACATCCTTCCCTGTTTCTGGCAACCAGACTATCTTTAAAGCAGCACATGGTAACACTGCACGCTCTGAATGCTGGCTTCAGTGAGAAACAAGAAGCTTTTGAACAACAAAAGCCTGGATCAAATCTTGAGGTAATTGATTTAGTTCCGATTTGGGCCAGACATTCAGGTTCCCACTATCTGAGCATCTTATCTGTGTATATCTTCACATAAAGCTCTGCAAAAGCCATCAAGAGGTGAAAACGGAAATTATATAGTGGCACAATCTCTGTAAATAATAAAATTTCAAGCTTGCCATGCAGCATTCCTTTGGCTTTTGTGGTCAGCTTTGTACATATATTATAAATATAATGAGTATACAAGATGGGTTTCAATGAGAGCAGTATCCGGGTTGCATGAATTAACAGTAGTTTTATCAGGACTGGATGAAATCTTCATCTAAACAGGAATTCTGCCCAGCTGCATAGTCGTGACCATGTCATATGTGAGGGAAAAGTGCATTTTACTAATCAGTGCTAGTAAGGCTGGAAGGGAGAATTAAAGCATCTTCATTCATCTATAAGATAAATAAATAAATAAATAATATTTTCCATTTTATTAATAGTCTGTCTTCTGTTTCAGACTTAATTATGGCATTATTACAGAACAAGCTTTCACCCAAAATAAAATTTTAAAAAATTAAATAAAATTTTAAAAGGCGAGAAAATATACTCTAGATCTTTCTTCTGAATATAATCCTTCCTTAGAAATTGTGCTAATGTAGCATAATTTTCAGGACAAAAGTTTAGGCAGCCAGTTCCCAACTTGCTTCCACTCTGTGACACAGACCTCATCACCCCTTTCAAGCTGTTTGTGGGATAATCCTGTCACCTGGATTGGGGTGCTGTCTGCATTAAAATGAAGCAGAATAGATGATTTGAAATTGTCACCTCCCCAAATACTATCCTGCCAGAAAGCGACCATGCTTCAGTGGGAATCTCACATAGCAAAACAGGACCATGAAAGGACAATTCAGGGGAGGGCAGCCACATGGAGCTGTTTTATTCTTTACCAGTATCCAGTTAATTTGTATCAAAAGCTGGCTAGATAGCTGGGAGTGTTGAGAAGTCTGTATGCTAATTGCCTTTAAAAATAAATGCATCAGAGCCACTGGGGCATTTCTGTTGTGGTTTTAGATTATTCATATAAATTACGAGATTATCAAATGCGAATGTGAAATTGTCAGGCATATGCTCAAATATCGTCTTCCTGAGATGTGTAATTACTCAGGGTGTCATCTCAGTCTGCAAGCAACCAGAAACTTCTGCTTCTACATAAAACATCATCAAGGTATTACAAAGCCTTTGGCAATAGAACACAATTAAAATACCTCAAGCAGTGAAAGCCATTAATATAAAGCAGGCGAAGTTCAAGAGAAACAGTTCGGGCGTGCCTCCTTAGCGGTGACGGGAGCACAGGGCCCTTGCAGATGAAATCACCCTGCTAAGGAGCTGGGGTCTCTGCACTGTACATGTCTCCACTGCCGTGCCAGAGCTGCTACACTGAAAGATAATTTGGACACCTCTGTGCCACGCCTTGGTGCCTACAGGCAGAGGTGGTCCTTCTTTTGTGAGTTCAAATCATACCAAGACAGGAATAGTCTAGCATAAGACAGATGTTTATGTTACCAGCTTCATCTGCAGCTGGGTTAGACTGTCCTGTTCTCCTCCTGACTCCCTCTGGTCCTGTGGCCAAGTCCTTACAGCCCATCCATAAGGGCACAACCAGTTCAAGCAGCTTGGATGCAAGCTGCCTCAGCTCAGGAGCTCAATGAAGTTATTATGGGGCCAAACCTGCTCCAATGTGTTCTGCAGAACCAGTAAAACCAAGGAAACATCCCCTCAACCCACAATTAATCATATCCTTTGAGACCAAGAATTCTCTGTCAACACGCTGAGTTAGAAAAACAAATTATACAGGCAGCTTCTTAGCACTTAAGCAGTGCTTTTTTAGTAAGCCTATAATGTTTTCATCTTTTCAGCATGAAAAGAATGAGATTCACTGCACCAGAGTCAGTCAGCTTTCCTTGTAGACAGTTTGCTAAGTTATCTTCATAGGTGTTTTTTGAAAATAATAGTTAAAATAGTTTAGAATAGTCACATAGAAAAATTGTGTGCTGGAAACTTTCACTTCACTGTTACTGCATTTACACAATGTGGAGTTTACATTATGCACATAAAGAAAACATCTGTATTCTCTAATTATAGAAGCTTTAATAAACATCAGCTTTGAACCATGACTTTCTCTCTCTCCATACAATCCCAGTATACACAACTGAGAGACATTTCCCTGTGCTACCTTTCTGATGTCTCTCATGGGACTTGACCCCAAGTAAGTACCTCTGTGCAGATAAAGGTGGGGTCTGGATGAAATTACATTTTAAGCTCTACCGAAGTTGCCAGCTGCAAGGATTTCTGGATGGCAACATCCCATCATTGGAAAGAGAAAAGTTTAGTTCATGTATGCATGTAAAGTGCTCTCAGATGAAAATCACTCTGAGTCATTGCTTGCATGGCCTGTCCTTGAAAGGATCATCAATTTTCATTGGTTTTGTACATAATTTCTGAGTTACCCATCTCTCAATTAATGTAATGCAACCTTAAAAAAAGGGTGGACCATATCTTTTATCCCACTGTCATCCCACCTGATGCCACTCTACTTTTCAAGAGGGCAGTCTGTCTTCCCACCACAGCAGTTGTGAAGAGGTAGAGCTATCAGTGATGCAGTCCGATGTACCTCCTACAGCTTTTGCCAGGCAAGTAGTGCTACATATCCTCTTCTAGTGAAATTTTGTCCTCTAACTTGGCATTAACCTTTCATTTTTTCTGCCAGGGGGCCCTGTCTGCTGTGGACAATCCAGTTATTTTTGGAAATGATCACTCTAGCAATAATAATTATACCCATAAAGCTTCCCTGTGCTAGCCGTCATTAACTGAAAAATATGTTTCTACATATAAAGGTGTGATTACCTGTGCTAGGTACTTTAATGAAATCAACATATAATATGTGCTATGTTTCCATTTCAGAAGTTTTTATGATTTGCTCAAGTACTTAGGGTCTCTGGCATGATTTATTAGCTGGTTAAAAGTCCATAAGTGACATTTCCTTTAAGTGGTTACAAACTTTCTCATTAATACCTGCACAACCACCACCAAAGACATTACACACCAGATGACACTTGCCAAAATCATCTTGCCCCCTGTACTGTCCCCTGGCATGCTGCAGGCTCCAGACTTGCACCACAGTGAATGCTCTGAAAGCTGCCTATTCCATCCTGATGCCTTGTGCCTCTGGCTGAGGGCTCATATCACCAGTCATGCCCTGCAAATGCTTTGTAGTGGTCACTGCACACGTTTCAGCTCTCTTAGATTCATCAAGTAATTCCTACCCATCCATTCCTACATTTTATTTGCAAAGTGTGAAGACTGACTTGCTAAATAAGGAGTATAAAAAATGAATGCTTAAAATAATATGGTAATTATTTGAATGGCGCAAAACTCCTCTCATGATTTCTATGCAATCTATGTGGGAAATGGCATTTACAGCTTCACTGAAGAAGGTTTATCTTTGCTTGAAGGCTCTCACTGTTTGTCCCAAAATAAACTCAGGAAAAGAAATTCATCTTCCAGCACATTTCTAGAGATCTGCATTTGTTATGCTCCTGTATCTTCTTCATCATGTACCACTCCTTTATAGAGCCCTTGTCTTGCAGGTTTCACTCTCAAAGCTGGAGACCAGACTGCCTGCAGCAATGGAATTCCCTGCATCCTAACCTGAGCAGGGGCAGAGGTAAGGAGGAAGGGAAAAATGCTTCTGGCTAATTTCTGTGAATTATACAATTTTTTGTAACATCCTGGGTTTGGATTGAGGGAAATCTGTCGCTTTGGTTGGAATTTGTTTTGACTGTATAAAAAACAATTATTATAATGCTTGGATTTGTGAAAGTGGACAGGAAACTGCCACACATTGTTTAAAGTGTGTCATTTTAATTTTATACTTGGATGATCTCAATTTGGTAAAAACAGCGATGCTTAGCAAGTACAGCAGAGAGTAGAGGATAAAGGACAGGGTGTGAATGCTTTGTCATTATGTCCTGGATCTTACAGGGAGGATGACCACAAGCCCTGAACTGCATTTAGCTGGACAGGAACTGTTTGGAAATATGTGATGGCCAAACAGATGCCCATGGCAGGGCAGCATTAAGTGTCTTAGCTCTGTAGAGCATTAAATCACAAGTATTTACAGGACCTGTGCCCTAGGAGGCCTCAGGCTGGAGGAATGTTTGGCCAAAGTAGCCCCTTGCCATCTTCTTTTCAGGTGCTGCTCACACAGGCAGGGAGAAACTGAGCTGTGCATGTGAACCAAATCTTTGCTTTGCTCACAAGCCAGGCATGCTCCAGCAGACCCATGGAATCATTGCATGCACTGAGAAAATCCATGGTAAATCAGGACTTGCCGTGTGTGCATGGACATACCTCATGAAAGAAGGCACTTAGGGCCCTAAGTGGCCCTGTGTTTGCAAAAGCCAGTCCACAGAGGGCTGCCTGTGAGAGGTATTGGTTACACTATACTCCTCCCCACATAAAAAGGCAGCTGTGTTGTTGCACTCCCAAAAGACAGATGAGTTCTTATGCATTGGAAAAATCAGCTGTGAAATGACTGAGAAAAATTTAATTGTGTTCCCCAAAGGCAAAAATAGAGGTGTGCTTATACAGTGTGTTAATAGACTGACTGCATCCAGCACTTTGTAGGACTTGTTCCTGCTATATGGAACCAGCAGCAGAGCTGCATTTTGATAAGGAATTCTGTTGTTGAAGGGAACATTTAATTTCTTTAAATAAATGTTTTTTATGATTGGGTTATTACTGACTAGGTTATGATCAGCTGTATGAAAACATAGCCTGTGATATGCCAGGCAAGGTAGAAAATTGTTCTCTCTTCCCCACAAAGGACAGCTCCTGTCACTGTCATCAGGTAAGTAAGGCACACACACACACCACAGGGAGGCAAGATTCCTGAATTGATCTTGAATCTGCTGTTGAGGTTCTGCTTGACATTTTAGGAGACTCCTCAGATCTCCCGGATTCTGTAAAACAGAGTGATAACATGTGATAGACTTTGATCCTGTGCATTTAAATGCTTTTTGTTCTGCCAAATCCTTTAATATCTTTGTTTTATGCAGTAAATATAACATGTACCTTCTTTAAAATCACAGCCAGCCAGCCGGTTATATTCCTGCCAGAGTTAGTCACTAGCCTGACTTATAACATGACTTATTACTCTTCTGACTGATCTCCTCTTATGTGCCACTTTACTTGAATTCCTCTTCTGAAATTGCCATTAGTGCTTAGGTAGTAAAAGAACAGCATCCTGTACATACTTCAGTACTTCACATCACTCAAGAATCTACCTGTCAGGATTGCCATCCTTCTCTGTACCTTTTCTACAGATAAAATTAGCAACATGATAGAGGCTTTTATCAACAATTAGCTTACTGTAGAACATATTCCATATACCAAGAAATGTGTTGTGTGCCATTTTGGAATGGTATTGTGGCTTCATAACATCCTGTCAGCATGTAGGCACTGCAGTGAGAAGCACACGATTCTGACTTTGCTCTGACTCTGTGCTGGAATAACTTTCTATTGCTTCAAAGGGACAGAAGTGAAATCAGAGTCAGGTTCGGTACAGTCGCAGAGATGAGCTGATGGGCAAAGCAGAAACTGTGAGAGACTGGACAATTAATGCTTAATGACTCAAGATATTCTGCTCTTCATTGAGAGCTATAAAAATTCTTAAATCAGCAGGTAAATTTTAATTTGTCTTCATTGTCCATAAATGTGTCTGAAGGCCTAAAGTTTTTTTGTCTGGCAGAGCTGTTTGATTCCAAGTGCCCTCTCCCTCAGTACCAGGAAAATAACGAGTGGCACAGTACCAAGCACCACTCTGCTATTTCATGATGTTACTGCTGCTCACGTAGCTTTTCCCAAATTAGCTTTTGACTAATTGCTGGGTCCCTCTAAGAAAATAGCTGCTACTGCAGAACCTAGTGCAGCTGCCAGGGAGGTTTGGTTCCTCTCCAGCTGAGATCCATGCCGCTGTGGCTACACAGCTCTTAGCACCTGACCTACTTAAATCAGTTTGGGCAGAGTTCCTTAAGCTGCAGCCAAGCCTTTTTCTTTAGTCTCAGGTCCAAGTGTTTATCATTGCTGTGTTATCCATGTGCTCATAAATTTCTATGCAATTATTTGCATGATTTCCTGTCTGTAGTATGATTAGTGTTAAGTCTTAGTTAATGAGATGATTATATCTTGGCAGCTGTTCACAGGTATTAACTTTTTTTTAGAAATATAGAATCTTGCTTCCTTAAACATAATTTTAAATTTTGTAAAGAATAGTGATGTTTTATATAGCAAGTTTTTATGTGATATTCCTCCTTTCTCTTGGCGAATCTATTGTCTTATCCACTTTGGGTTCCCACTCTACACTTCCTGGAGTCTTGTAGACCTCATCAGAACACTGCCATGAGGGTTTTGAACATAAAGTCTGACACAGCTTTTGACATGTCTGCTCACATCCTGAGATTTGCTTCCTGCTGTCCCTGAGTCAAAACTTTTGGGTTTAGGGATATCAAGGGAACATTCCTGCCTGTTCCTCTTACTGTCTATTTATGGACCTGTTGTCCATGATTATGTGCAGCTGCCTTTTGAGCCTATTGATACTCTTTGTTATCACAAACTCCCATGGCAAGGCTGGAATGGAAAAAATCAGCCTAAATACCATGGTTACACAGAGATAAGCAAACTTTTTGAATATTTTATAGAAGGGAATTTCTACCATAAATATATGTCAATAGTTTGAGTTTTTAGTGTAGCAGATATCTGCAAAAACCATGAAAAATAAGAAAAGCAGAGTGATACCTCTCTTTCATAAGACACTGAAACACAAGAAAGGCAGAGGTGGGCTGTGGGAGGGGGTGTGGCTGGTGACCTCCCTGCATTGCCATGGGAGGCCACAGATGTGTAGCTTTCCCGCCTCCCGAGTTGTCTGTCATCTGTTCTCCCTTCCCCCAGGTTATGTCAATCATTTTGTACCCCTTCCCTTTGTTCTGGAAAGTTCTAAGTTCTTTGTACCCCCATTGGTTCCTCCCCCGAAACCACTCCTTCCCTCTATCCCAGTTGGCCATTGCCATGCCACTCTCCGTTGACTCCACCCTCATACCCTCACCCGGTTGGATGCTCTACCCCTTGACCCTCCTCCCCTGTAACTGTTATATACCCTGCCCCGCCCTGGTTCAGGGCTCTCAGAGCTGGCTCGCCCTCTGAGTGGTTGCTTCCCTTCACCCTCCTCGCCTTCCCTCGATAAACCCTCGGAATAAAGCCGCCTGAGAGACTCCCGCCTCGTGGAAGATTCTCTTTATTACCATCATAGCGTGCCCGAAGTCCCCGACTCAGTCGGAGCGGACCGAGCATCGCTATAGTGGGCCAGATAAAGTCATGGTGTTCATTCAGTCACCTCTTTTCAATGCTCCCTTTGCTGCTTAAGGTAGGTGATAAGCAGAGGGAACACCTGTAGTGCTACTCATTTTACAGCACTTTTCCAAAGGTTTCAGTGATTTGGAATTCAAAGATACCAAAGTCTTTGGGTTTAATAGAAACTTGTGGTGATCTTACTTCACAAAGTTATCTAGTTGTTTTATGAATCCCTACAGTCTCAGCTTCCAAAACACTTTGTGGCAGCCTGTTCCCTTCACAGCAATTCTGAAGCTCTGATACTTGCACGGGGTTGCTGTGAGCACCTTGTGTGCATGTGGAGAACTGCACAGATAAATGCACAGCTATTTTGAGCAACAAATTCAAAGTGTGTTTATGAGCTGTGAACAGAAAAGAGGGTTTGATTTGATTTATTTGTTTGAGTTTTTTAGTAGGGCTATTGGCAGCATATGCATGGACCTGCTGCCTGGTTCCTGACTATAATAATGAAACACAAATGAAAGAATGAATGGTGTATGTAAGCAGGCAAGTTACACAAGTTCTGGGCTTACATAGTTACACATACATGTGGAATCAAAGATCATTTTTATAGTCAGAGCAGCTTATTTGGATGCATCCAAAGCTATAGCAGTGCATTAAACTTCTGAGAAAAACAGTCCTGGTTCTTCTGGACTCTTGAAAATGTGATGTTTTAAACAAGGCCTGCTTCCTGCTGCAGTCCATGGTGTGGGTTATCTAACAAAGCCAGGCCTGAGCTTTCAGTCCCAGCACTGAGCTGGAGCCTGTTGGAAAAGGTGGGCTGCTGGAGGAGTGGGGCAGGTTTGTAAGCAGCTGAAGTGAGGCCTTCTGGGTTTAATGTGTTCCATAACCAGTTCAAACAGGGCAGCAACTGAAAACCCCAGATGTCAGAGTTACACAACAGCTCCTTCAGGAAAGCAGCTTCAAGTTTTCAGTGGGCTTTATAATAAAGAGCATGCATGAAATGTTCACCCACAGACAGTGAAGTGTTTGCTTTGTTAGCAGTACACACCCACCATCGACTCTCAGCTCATCCTTTCATAGGGGGAGAGAGGGATCTTCATCCCTAATGCAGGTTTTTACATTACCCTTATGTTACTGTGCGTGGGTTGTGTATTGCAGACTTAATGCAGCAATCTGTTGACCTGCATCAATTTTGTGCCTTTTTTGTTCTCTTAAAGAAATGATGTATTGAATGAAAGTTTTGAGGCTTTTTTTTTTTTCCACCTGTGCTAAGGTTGAGTACTTTGAATGAAAGAGGGTTTATTTTGAAACTTA